CTTGGGGCTACGGGTCGTCGTCCAGTGGTCCGTCCAAGATATCGATGGAAGGATGGAGTCGCCAAAGACCTAAAGGAGCCGAATGTATCTGAATGATCGGAATTGGCACGAGACCGACAGAAATGGCGTACTTTGGTGTTGGAGGCCAACATCCACTTCGGGTTGCTGAGCCAGCGAGGTAAGTCAGTAATCATTTATTCATAATACTCAATATAGGCCAATTGAGTGTCCAGAAAATCAGTATCGAATGTATAATCAAATAAATAACTATTCATTTAATTGTATTAAAATTAAATGAAAGGAAGACGTGCTCGGACCGCCGGTCACATTGTAAATATGCAGGAGCTCGTTAATGGTTCGCCTCGCCTTCGAGAATCACCGCCGAGGCGAGGTCCGTGTCGTAGCGTGTAGTGCTCATTGTTACCTTTTTATATTAGAACAGGTACTAAGTGAATACGTGCTTATATCACCGTCAGTATCCCGAGTGACACAGACTAAGGCTGCGCGCATTTGTCAGTATAAACAAGCTCCACGACCCGTGTTCTGCATCTCTGCAGTCGGAAAGCACGTTCCCACTCTGCCGCATTTGCCCAAAATTCTATCCCATAATGTAGCACCGATTGTATGGAAGAAAAATAGCACGTACTCCTTATGTTTCCATACAAGTTATTTATTACACGTTACAATATTGTATGTATTTATAATACTTATGTAAATATCGGTAATTTTGAATTTATCTATCTTATCTGTCTCTCTAGTAGCAGTTGAGCTCCCTGTAAAGAGTTCGTCCAGGGAACTAGTGCCACCTTACCTATTTCTGCCGCCAAGCAGTAATATGAACGGAACTGCGTTCCGGTTTTGAACGGTAAGGATGTTGGTGAAATTACGGACACATGAGACTTCCTTATGTCTCAGTGGCAGTGTCCTTCAGATCTTCGCGATTTAATTTTATATTTTAAGTATACCACCAGGTGTACGACTTCTTCATCTTGTCACTTGGTATCATAAAAAAAATTGTTTGTGATGTCTTATGACTTTTGCTCGAGTCTTGGTATGGCTGGAAAAATAAGTCCAAATTAGCTTACCTTTATAGCAATTAATATTTTTTTTAAGTCAATGAATTGCAGTTGTGGGTTTGAATTTGGTGTAACGTAATTTCACTCATACATGTACCACATGACACTGCTTAACAACCCGCAACTTGGACTGAATTTCAATTCGGCAACTACCTTCCCATTTTGTCGAAATCGTGTTCTGTCGGCGACATAGCTCTGTCGGTTTCGCTAATAAAGTTTGCACATTGTTTTTCTTGCAGTACCTATCTAATGGTGTATAAATTATATAAATCCGACACGTGGTTAAGAGCCTTATGCTGTAACAAATCTTGCTCTACGTTTAATATTTTCGTATAAAAATAGTTACAATTATAGTGTTGAATTCGGCATGTTTTCCTCACTCTGAGTCCTGAATTTTTGACGCTGTACAACACCTGAACATCACAAATTCTCTCTAGTCCTTTTTTTAAAACAATTTGACGGCTCAGGACCCAGGCAACAAACAAGAAAAAACCTAAAACATTTTTGGTATGCACCATTAATAAATATAGACAGATAGAACACTATTTATAATAGGTGTATTAAAGTCATAAAAACGTCTTGGGGAGTCACCACACTTATCGATAGGGAATCACATTAAGACGGTTAAAAAAGCTTCATATAACATGAGCGAAAAAGACGTTTAGTGTTTCTCATCGGCTCTAATGACACAGCTTGATGCAGGTCGGTAACAAATCTGCCATTCAACCGCTGACGGCTAAGTCCGACAGTGCGAAAGCCACGTTTCATATCCCCCGTTCGAGACGATGAACAGCTGCTTCGATGTCCATATGACAACGAATCGACTTAAAGGCGACAAGTGTGGCACATAATGCAACATGATCGGCACAAGCCGATTCCACGTCGATAACTGTGGTGACTCCCTTCTTCAGGTTTTTGTAATTCTAATAATGGTGGGTTTTCACGTACATTTGCGCTGAGATTTGCATAGCCTACAGTAAGTTCAACTAATTTATGGCAGCCAAAATTATATAGCGTTATATAGTTATATAGCAATTTTGACTGCCATAATTGTTCACTAAAATACTGTACTGACGTAGTTTCAATGTGTTTTTTAAGGATGTTTTTCGAAAGTTTTTTTTTGTTTGAATGACGGTAATAAAGTCATTCAACAATTTATATCAGAATTTGTGCTGAACCCACCATTTGTATAGCACTTAGTACAGATAGTGGATACTTAAGTGAGGGCACCTATCCTACGCAGAAGACCAAAAAATAAACAAAAAGCATTAATCCATACAGAAATAACATAGCGTCCTTGAATTTTTTGCTTTGACGTCAACGCCAAAGTTCTACGAAGACGTATTTATATTTAAAACATTTTTGTATGAACATCAATAATATAATTACGACTTAATGAGCAGAGATACGTTAAATGGCGTGTCATTGAGATAGCTTAGGATAGAATCCAGTTGAGTTCTTTTATTTTAGTTTACTTATTATATTGCCTTTGAATAGCATGTTACCGTCTCGACTGCGTCATCTGTGGCCGCGTAGAGGTCTTGCCTCGTACAGGTATTAGGGCCCAAGGGGCACAACAACATACTTGCTGTTGTGTTGTGCTGCTTGGACTGTGTTTGGGCACCGCATTGACATTGGGTTAGACCATCGAGTATATAACCAGAAATAGAGATGAAATAAGGGCCATACATTTCTGGTAACTCGTCAGTGATACATCACTTATAAATATCAACTCTCGTTTGTACTGAAATATAGACAGCGCCAACAACTGATCTGTGTGTATGTCTCCGTATGTTCCAAAAATATTCTGTATTTATTGTAATAAAGATAATGTCTCTAACAATGGCATATTGTTCCAATCGGTGGTGTGGGAAAAAACAGCAAAACATCTAATTACAAAACAAACGGAATCAAATTTCATCGGTAATTAAATATTAAATATGTAATTTTGAAATTTTCGTCCATTATAGCAAAGCTCAAGTTAACTGGTCGATTTGAAGTGAAACAATTGACGACACCCGTCAATTGTTCCGAATTCGGGCTGGCCAATCGGAGCGCAGTTGTCACAGTAATGATATGGCAGAATAGTTTTCAATTAATTAGGATTGTCACTCGAAAATTTATTTTGATTTCATTTGCTGATAATTCATTATATTGAAAGTTACAGTTTGTAATGGAAATAAAACAAACAATGAATAGTTCCAGCTTTATTTTTCAAATTACTACATCTATCTAACATTACCTGGAATGTTTAAATAACACAAAATATCTACCTATTTACTCACAATTACTTCTTACGTAAGCTGTAATATAGGTTGGCCATTGATCTACCCAAAAGGTCAACGGATTGGCTAACATTTCCGTGCAGTTTTTGCCATTCCCTAACTTTAAACAAAAAAAAACTATTTTTTTCTTTTAAAATTTGTCTGTTGTCATTTTCCAAACGATATTTCAGAGCGTATTTAAAAAATAGGCGGGAAAGTTTTAAGTTTATAATTCATAAAAAACGCCCAGAACTGTCGAGTTGCAGAGGTGTTTTATCATAATGCCAAACCACAAACATCTTTACAAAGCCGCCGAAAAGTATTACAGTTAGGTTGAGATGTATTATTTATCTATCGTATTCGCCCGACATAGCCCCGACAAATATTCACTCGTATTTACAAAATTATTTTAAAGGACTCTCATAACGAAGAGACCATACGACACTAAAAACTGTATGATAAAATTTTTTGTGAAAGGGGAATTCTATAGTTATCCGAAACTATTGTGGATCAACATAGTCAATAAATAATTTATTAAGATTGATGTTTCTTTTTTAAATGTTTTTCATTAATTTGATACCACGCGGACTTTATGGTCAACCCAAAATATTCGTTATTTTTATACAGCAACTATGCATATAATAATCTACATTTGGACAAGTCTTTCAATAAGTAGCAAGTAAACAGATATAAATAGCAACAACAGTACCTATACAATAATAAAATTTATGCCTTCAACAGCTTTGTGGTCTGCGGGAACTGGTTTAGAATTCTAAGTACGTTATAAAGTTCTGTAAACAAGTCGAGTGGAATCTGTAACGTCTTGTTTCTTTATGTTATTTATTTATGTATGTATTGAATAACTTCTCGGTTTTTTTACTAATACACATTTTACGAGTAAGAATGATGGTAGTTCGTAAATGGAATTCTGAATTTGTTTTCTCAAAATTTTTTTTACCACCAAATTTAATATCGTTAGAAAGTCAAATACTCTGTTGATCGTATTACTAATTTTATAAACAATATTTATACTTACATTTGGACCCATGTATTTAGTAGACGAGTTGCATTAACACTTAGCTTTGTTTGTAGTTTGATTATATGTACAGTATTTTTAGTACAATTAAGTAAGAAAATTTTGAAGATATTTTTATAAAGTCATTGTGAAATACAGTAGAAGTATATGTTATCATTAAGTTCTTGGGGTTTCGCGATTATTATACACAGGAAAGGAAACTATTTTTTATATGTTGTCGGTCGTCACGACTATGGTACCTATGTATAGACAGCCGTGTTGTAAAGCAGTTTCATTTTAAACATGTGTTATTATTATTAATTATGCAGGATAACATTAATATTTTTGAGTCAAAAGCTCAAGGCTGATTACGACAAACCACAAATCTGCCAAAATTGCCATACTCGGGTAGGTCAATGTAAAATGTGACTTTAACGCCATAAACATGAAGCTTCATTTAAGTAGGTAATTATTTAACAGAAAAATGTCGTAATTTTCTTATCGGAAACAATAGTAAATGCATAACATGTTCGAAAATATATTTACATCGCAAATCGTGTCCTTGCTTCAAATTCAATACGATTTATTCAACCAATTAAAGTCAAAATGACTGGGATGTAATCGCACTTGTTCGTCAAAGTTCCACTATCTTTGGTACCTTTTAGTAGGGAAGTTCCAGTCTTCTTTAATAAGATCGGCAGCTTTTTCCGCAATCATCATAGTGGGTGCATTCGTGTGAGCTGCCGGGACGTGGGGCATTATACTCGCATCCACTACTCTTAAGCCTGTTACACCATGTACCTTTAACCTTGGGTCTACGACAGATTCTGGATCGGTACTTGGCCCCATTTTATTCGTACAACAATGGTGATAAATTGTGTTAGTTAATGTTTTCATTGCACAATACCAATACTGGTCTGAGTTGAATTTATGATGAGCACAGTTTGGCAATGGTATGTCGTGAAGCTTACTACCAAATTTCTGGAATGCTTTCGTCTTAGACAATTGTATGATTTTTCTTATTCCGTGTAATATAACTTTCTGGTCATGACCTCGGTCAGAGAAGTAGTTCGCGTATATTAAAGGTTTTTGGTATGGATTTTTGTCTTTTAATAGTATCCGTCCTTTAGATTCAGGTAAGAGAAGCATGGGGAAAACCATCCAAGTATCACGGTTTTCAATTGGTCCATATACTTTATCGTATACATAGTCACTTATGGCAAAAGCGTTCTTGTAAGTTGGTTGTGATACTAGTGATCCTCCAACGAAAAGCAGTTCCAAGTCAGGATAACCGTCTGGATTGTTTGGATGTTTTGTATCAATAAATGCTAAAGCTTCTGTACCACTCGGTGCCGATAAAGGGCCCGTATGATAGCTAAAATACTCTATAATATTATCTGCTGTTGCAACACGTTCAGACCTGATTGAGTCAGTCGTGTTAATTACAAAAGTAAGCCCTCCTAGAGCCCAGTGATCTTGTAAATTGTAACCAACTGGAAGATCTACAATAGTTGTTATGTTTTTCTCTGTAAGATGTTGTTTAGGTCCGACCCCACTGATCATCAAAATTTGTGGAGAATTGATTGCGCCAGCTGATAAAATAACTTCTTTTGTGGCTAAAACTTTGTATGTTTTTCTATATTTGTCGTATTCCACACCATAGGCACGTTTACTCCATGGATCAATGAGTATTCGTTTGACATGTGCCATTTTAACGATATGTAGGTTTTTGCGATGTTTAATAGGATGCAGAAAAGCTTTACTGGCACTCATACGTGTGCCGTTGTTCATTGTGAATTGAATTATGGAGTAGCCTATTTGTTTTTCGCCATTATAGTCTATTATTTTTCCACCTGTCTCAACACCAGCTTTTAAGAATGCTTCGGAAAGAGGAGTCCTCCAACTGGGATATTGGATTGTCATTTCACCTTCAGTTGAATGAAACTTTTTATCACGAGCGAGTTCCGGTATTTTCATGTTTTCTAATCTTTTAAAGTAATTTAAAACGGACTGGTAATCCCAACCTGTAACAAAAAACGATAATTAAATCATGTGATGAGTTTTTGTCCTTTTTTTATAGTTTTTGCATATCTTAACGTAAATAGTTTTTATATTGAAATTTACTTCTTGCCACCTATTTTCGTTCTACCTCATCGTTATCGCTATTTAAAAATAAAAATTAACTTTTTGCACTTTTAACCGTGAAAATAATGACGTCGTTCTAACTTAACAATCTTCAGGTGACAAAACATGACAATGGTTTTCTAATTACCTGGGTTCCCAGCTGCAGCCCATCTATCATAGTCTTTTTTATTTCCTCTGGTGTGCATCATGGAATGAAGAACTGATGATCCCCCGACAACTTTCCCTCGAGGCCAAGCGCAACGTCCAGCCCGCATACCCATGCAGCCTGCTTTCTGGAAACAACCATGAGAAATATTATTATGAGATATTGAAAGGAATTATTTTCTGGAAATAAATGTTTCGTGTAAACAAACTAATAATTTCAATAATGTTTTTCTTATTTCCGTTTAGTTACTTTCAATTTAAGATTTATTTTTGGAATGGGACCAAAACAGAGTGACAGGTTTTTTGTTACATTGAGGTTTATCAGAGTTCACTGTCGTATTTAAATTAAGAATATTGAATAGCATGTAAAAACTTGTTACATTTTTTTTGTTAAGCCAAGCAAAAAGTATATATGCATTGTATATATATTTATACTATATAGGAGTTAATGCAAATTTCACATTTGAAATGAAAACAATTCAGAACACACTGTGTCTTAATTTACAATTAATTTTGTTTAGAATTAGGAAAACTAAACAAAGAAGCAGTGATCATAAACTTGTTCTTTAGACAAAAATGACAAATAATGTCATGATTAATGTTTATTATTTTATGAAAATTTTCCGTTCAATTTATAAACTTTTGTTTCTTTAAGTTTTTTTATAGGGCAACTTTTTGAAATAGATTAAGTATGTAAATATAGAAAGTTTTCATTTAATGTTTAGCGAGTAAAAGAAACGTAATAAGTACATAAATTTAGTGTATATTTTTGGGATGGACAATCCCAATTCACATTATTTATTAAATTAATTTGGTCACAAAATAATATATAGAAATGGCGTCTGATAAAATTTCCTTCTGTCTAATTGCTTATTAATTATAACATTATTTTCCCTAAATTCCCATCGTATGCGTGAATAATTAAGCTACATATTTAACTTGACGGTAATAAAGCCGGTACTATACCCTTATCAAGGACGTGGAATTTTTATTGGAAGGAAGTGGATAACAATGTTACTCACTTAACATTTATAAAAAGATTGTCTTCCTGATTCGTTTTGGGGGAACATTGTTTTATTTTTTCGCATTTGGTATATTACGTTTGGGCGCTTGATGAAATAGCCATTTAATTTTTAAATCAAATAGTTACAACCTGTTTTCAAAGTGCCTGCATCTATTTATAATCAAAAATTGCTACAATTTCGTTTCAGAAATACAATGTACAGTCCTTTATTCTACCTAAGTCAGATTTATAAATTTTGTGATATTTTTATAAAACCTCAATGATCACATTTTAGTGATATCTGACCACGATGTCAGCTTACTTGACGAAGTTACAGGCAAATTAGACTTGTCAACTTATGTCTCAGGGTGACGGGCGCAGTGGCAGTGCCCTCCAGATCTTTGCGATTTAAAGCTGCAATGGACAGGCGTGTCGCTTACCACCAGGAGCACGACTTGTTTGTCCCGTCACATGGTATCAAAAAAACCTTACAATATTCCACAATTCGATGTAGACTAGACATAATGGTTATTTGTTATGCAAGGCTGCAAAGTTGTTGTTTGACGTGAGTGCTTGTATTGAAACTTGAGCAAGCGAAGGATTCAAAAATAGAATCCTGAGCGTAGCGAGGGTTTTAAGCCAGGAGACGCAAAACAACTTTGCCGCCGAGCGAAACGCACAACTTTTCACCTCACTATCGAAAAGGAAACGCGAGGAAAATGGTAGATGAAAGAAAAACAATTGAACTATAACAAATCAGTTTTAATAAACAAAATTAGTTATCATTGTCAATTTAACGTCAACAATAATAAGAATAAAATATACCAACGGATTTATATTACATAAATAATATACGACAAAACGCGTAGTTGAACGTGTCATTATGTCTTTCTTTCGATCCATCGTAAAGTTCGAATTCCATAATTCAGATTTCTAATGAGAAAGAACGCCTTTCCGAGCTAGTGAGGTGAAAAAATAATTTGTATGTATAATATGAAATGTTTCTTGTGCACAAGAAATCCGTGAAATTCAACTTCTACATTTCTCCCTTTATCGCTTGCTATGACAGTGATGAAAAGATACACCAACATTTTATGTTTGATATTTTCATAGGTGTATATTCTTTAATGTATTGCAAAATTATTCGCACCGTCTTTTAGCAACAACTTAAAAATAGCACACACTTCCATAATCAAAGTAGCATAATTATATACATATGGGATCGAAACGAAGCTACAGTCCCAGTTCACTATTGGATCTAAATTAATTGGTTTAAATTTGACGGCATAGAGATTTGTATCGGGTTGAATAGCATGTTATGGACTTGTTGTTATCGAGTTGTTAAGTCAGCAAAAAGTATATATACGCAAATGTTCTTAATATATTTTGCAGCATTAATTGCATGGTTCATATTTCCGAAGCAACCTTTTTTGTTAAATTTATGTTTACGGACTCAGGCTGACACTAAAGATACATTATTTTTAATCTTCTTGTTAAAGAGGTTTTTTAAGGGTTTTTTTTCGAAGGAACTGTTGGAAAGATTGACTTAAAAGTGGTTGTAGTGTCCGCTCCCACAAATAATAACGTATTGGTATTTGGCTCGCCTACGCACCACTACGTGCCTCCGGGTTGACAGTCGAACACTGCCTGACCCCTTCGCCTTCCACACCCGCACCATGTGACGTTCTCATACAATCCATTTACACTACAGTGTCTTTTTTATTTTTCTTATATTAGTGTTTAAATCGGTAATTAAGTTTATTAATCTGTAATTCAAAATCTCAATACAGAGTACTAAAAACCGTCCTCAAAAGTCATTCATCCCCTAGTTTGCCACCCTTAGAGGTGGAATATTTTCTTCAAATTTAAATGGGACCACTACTGAGGTACCCTCTTTCCAACAAAAGAAGAATCATCAAAATCGATTCACAAATTAGTTATCGCGTAACATACATAAAAAAATATGCAGTTGAATTAAGAACTTTTTTTTAAGTCAGTTAAAAAATTGTAAAACGTGATGGTGGCACTTCCTTTACATGGCATATTCATATATGCATATTTGATATATTTGCCAAACAATCACCACGTGTATCATCTGTGACAAAGTATTTGCCTTGTTTGTCTATTCGATAAATACAGCAAACACTAAACACGCGTTACCGCGCGTTGATCGGTTTCTCGACGCACATCAAAGAAGTCAAATACGCTATAATTATATTCATTATTACAACTCCTTATTTGGCTCCATGTGAGACGGTCATAGTTGTTGGATTTTGCATGTTTGTCTGTACGTCAACTATGTCTAAGTAGGTACTTCAAATATCCGTCTGTAATTAGGCTTCTTGAGTGCTACCATTAGAGATCTGATAATTAATATTTTATTAATTTATACATTGTTTATAGCTTTTGATTATAAATGTTATTAAACGTATATTAATGCAAATGTCACTTTAAAAACACACCAGTTTAGTGGAGTTTAAATATAATTATTTTTTAACAAGTTGCCGTGTTTAAATTATATTAACTGATATATTAGATCTGCAAATGTTTGCGTGCCAGTGTTGTCATTATAGTATAGTAATATAGAAAATAGTCAGACTAAGTATTAGATTTGAATGCACACCAATAAATAGACAATAACAATATGCCTTCGATAAGTTTGTATGTGCTTGTGCCCAGGCACAGTGAAGCTACACTTTGTTACTATCAACTACACAACTTGCGTTTTCACTAAGTTATAAATTATGAAAATAAATACATCAGATATTATCGCACAATGGTTGAAAAACAAAAGGTCACGGGCGAGGAATCATTAAATCCGGTTCTGCTTTTTGCCAATAAAAAACTGGTTTTGCCATAATGATAAGACTCGTAGCTTGAGTTCAGGTGCGAGGAAGAGTAGCGGGTTGCGGGAGGAATTTATTTGACGGGATTTTGGTTATGTTCGCATTTTCTCCACGGCTCGGTAATTTTTGGTCGATTCGCAATCATGACGAGCTTTTCGCTGTTGACATTTCAACATATATTTTTTAGGTATGATATTTTATGTTTTAAATATTGTACTAAATGTTCTATAATGCTGATTCACCATTGTACGTCATTTGCGTCTAGGTCATGGTAGAGTCCTGGTTAACACGCAAGGCCTCTTCATCGGCATAATCTCTACATTTAAAGTTATTTATGTACCGAACGGTATCATTCAATGAAGTAGCTTTAACGATGAGTAAATTTTATCCGTCTCTTATCTATCTACAGAAGACCACCTCCTACCACATTTATTCTGTTTAAAAATTTGAAAAAAAAAAGTTTTATTGTGTGATTTCTTACAACGCAATCATAGTAATTTTCGCATTTTGACGTAAATAGCGACTCGATTATAGGAATCCCAGAATGTTTAAATCTCTAGGATGCATTGGACAGCGAATAAGACAAAAAATAATTACGAAAATATTATCATAATATTCTTAATGCATTTCTAACGCAAAGCAACTGGCATTTTTCGGACTTAAAACGTAAGGTAAGTTATTACAATGCGCAGGCACATATTGAAGACCAATACTTAAGAGTCGGTTGCCAACCAATACTGTCATAAAACGAAAATCGCACTTTTTCATATTTAAATACATTTTCAGAAACTTTCATGACCATTTCACGAAATCGACTTTTTAAGCAGGAATAGCAAATTACAATCTATACAAAATTCGTGTAGCTCGAAATGGGATTCTGAAATGTAAAGATATGAGGTTTAATTTTTAAATTCCTACAGGGTTTGTAACTTACACGGATCAGCTCTAGAACTTTTTCGCTTTTAATATCATAAAGATCCTGATGTCATTGTTAATCCTTGATGACAAGTAGTCGTCTTTCCTCTTGTAACCGATGTGGTATCAATGTTAATCGACTTAGTTGACCCTAAAGTTGCCTTGGTATGACCGGAATAGCAATCGGACACAATGTTGCTATTACTGCAAAGTTGTCATTCAATGCCAGGGAGACATTTTGTCACTACAGGGAAATAAGTCCGCTGGCACTTTATACCCTGCGCCAGGGTTGATTCATATAGCACTTTCAAATTGTTGTTATTTATAAATCCGCTGGGTCTTACGTACCGTGCATCAGAGTTGATTCATATAGCATCTGAAAATTGTTGTTACTCTTACGTACCGTGCATCAAAGTTGATTCATTACCTATCATAAAATTGTTGTTATTTATAAATCAGGTGACTCTCATGTACCGTGCATCAGGGTTGATTCATATATCACCTTGAAATTGTTGTTATTTATAAATTCACTGGCTCTCAAGTACCGTGAACCAGGGTTGATTCATACAGCACCGTAAAAATGGCGTTGTTATTTATAAATTCGCTGGCTCTCAAGTACCGTGCACTAGGGTTGATTCATATAGCACCTTAAAATTGTTGTTAGCTATAAGTCCGCTGGTTTTCATGTACCATGCGCTGGGGTTGATTCATTTAATATCTTAAAAATGTTGTTATTTATTGTGTGTGTCGGGGTCTGCACGTTGTCGGATGTAATGACTTTTGTAATAATATAGAGACATTCTTGTTTTGTAATCGCAACATGAAAAAAATACTAGGATGATAGCCTGTTTGAAGTTTTATTACATCACAACTTTCGAAAAACAGCGTTTAAAGTTTACGAAAATAAGTTTAAGTTTGCAAATAAAGCGAAATTTTCATTTAGTAACGTTATTGTTTTGAACGTGCGATATTTATTCCTTAGTCTTTAGTTTTCTTCTCTGAAAGATATGTGGAGTGTACGAATGTGCCTCGGACTACATATATTGTACACATACAAGTTTGTAGTCGTAGCTGTACAATATTCATTAAAGGTTAAGGTTTAGGAGTGACATTCATTATAGTATGTAAAAGGTTATCAATAAGGAAAGTTCGTACTGATTTGTATGGCCATACATTATCTAGGACGTGTGAGGCATCACGTGCGTATATGAGTGTCACTTTATATTGGTCGTTGGTTAAAAGTTGCGTGAAAAACGATGTTCTTGGCCAATATAAGTTGTACCTCGCTGTCTATTTGTAACTGTTTTTCAATTTCCTTTTAGTCGTACTAATATAATTAAAACATATAATTCAAAACATTGGTATAATTATAAGAACAGTACAGAGTATTAAAAAAACCGACCTCAAAAGTCATCCCCTAGTTTGCCACCCTCAGGGGTGGAATATTTTCTTCAAATGTAAATAGGACCACATCTGAGGTACCCACTTTCTAATAATTTTTTTTTAAAGGGATTTCTAGTTTGCGACCAAATAATTTGTGTAGGTTTTTTAAATAATATCTAGTGACGGGACGAATAAGTCGTGCGCCTGATGGTAAGGTCCTTAACAGTTGCAGTGCCACTCAGAGCTTTAAATCGCAAATATATGAGGGGTCATTGTCACTGCGCCAGTCCCATGTGCCTGTAATTTCACCAGCACCCTTACCCTTCTAAAGCGTAACGCAGTAATGTTAACATTACTGCTTGGCGGCAGAAATAGGCAAGGTGGCAGTACTTCCCTGGATTAACTCTTTCACAAGGAGCTCTACTACTACTACTACTAGTGTAGTAAAAAAAAAGAAAAGTTTTGTGAGACGCCATATGGGATTTTTTTCACATTTGTCGCCAGTGATAACAAAACCAGTGGTGACAACTGGGAATAAGCACGCGAGAGGCGGTCCGCCTCGTACTTGACCTACAATGTAGGCTCGCATTGAAATCCTCGCTTTAATAGAATCTACTTAGTAGGCAACTCGAAACAATTTCGCATTGTGCATTCAAAGTCACCATCAATATTAGGGTCACGCGGGGTAATTAAAGACTTGGTAATTGAGAACGCGTTCTACAGGGTTATTTTTAAACGATGCCGAACATCTAGTACGTATTTGCTATCATTAAAACAAACAACTTCTATTCTATCACTTTAAACAATTTAATACTTCGACAAATCGATGGAACCACATCCTTAAACATTTGATTATACAAATTAAGCTATATTTTCGGATCCTTAGTTGCGTCTATTTATTTTTGAAACAAGCCGAGATTCGAACTGACCCCCAAGCGACCTGTAAAGAACCCGAAATGTTGGCAAATAGTTACATTTCCAAGTTGTAGGAATTGCAAGAATCTAAGAACTCAATATTTACTTACTTTCTGTATTCTTTTTACATCTACGCTGTAAAGCACACCTGTCTGGAGTCACGTAAGCATTGTACTCGATCGCAACGCACGTTCTGATTAATTTCATAATAGATAAGAAAACAACGTTTTGTGATCTCTAATGCAATATCAGTTTTCAGGCGTTCTCAAACTTTGGTTCCCAAGTATTTTATTTTAAATATCGTTCTTGAAAAATCTTTTGCTCTACCTACGTAGTATGTACCTTATATGTTAAATACGTATGAAGTAAGCATTCAGTTGTTATTAAATCAGGTTTTTTGCTTTACATTATGCAAAGGCCTTCTCACGCTGACGACAACACCGACTCTACTCAAAGAAAAACTTTGAAACGTGAGCTGGAAATCGTCTTACGTATATTGTTAAAATTGTGAGTGAACGTATTGTACGACGCGTGAGCTATGCGTCCGTTCTATACTTCAGACCTGCACTTTGTTGACCGCCTGTTTGCTGTTCTTTCACTTACCGGCAACGAATTGTCTTTTTTTATGATATTCAGTGACGGGACGAACAAGTCGTGCACCTGGTGGTAAGCGACACACCTCTCCATGGCAGTTGCAGTGCCACTCAGACAAGTCTGTTTTGTAACTGCCTGTAATTTCACCAGCGCCCTTACCCTTCGAAACCAGAACGCATTAATGCTCACATTACTGCTTGGCGGCAGAAATGCTAAGGTACTTCCGTAGACGAACTCTTTCACAAGCTCTACTGTCTGCGCGCTTATAGCTTATAGTCAACGTCAAGGCCTGATATCATTCACAACGAGATGTAGCGTACTTAATGGCGCGATGTCTATTTGTTGACATCGCGAAGCTGGCGGCCTGATGACATCCAACCGAAAGTCCTTGTCGGTCTGATGTTGTGTTATTATGATGTGTCGTGTATGAGCAATAACACCATTGGTTAGGTCGGAGGCAGCGGAATGTCTTCCTACTCTCATACTTGTGTTTATTAATAACAAAAAAAAATACACACGCGACAAACACCCTTTTATGTATTTTTACTTATTATAAGCGATATAATATGTTATAAATAATAAATACTAACTACGAAAACATTATTTATTTGACAAGTTCAAGAAATTAATAGATGTATAAAACAGTGGCTCTAATATACTAATATAAGTAAACAGAACCACTATAACCAGTTTAACAAATTAACTTCCATTACAAATATTATGATAATAGCTTAACAGTTTATAATCGTCTGTCTGTTATTTTTATCAGTTATTGTAACATAATATATTTCCTAAGCAGGAGCTCTGGTAGAACCTGAAGATTATTTTATGTTTTATGTCGTGCTGTTCTTGGTTGCGGACCATCGTATAGTTTCCAACGTGAGCTTTAAAAAGCGTCTAAGGGAGCCTCATATGCACTATAAAACCCTTTATATACCAGAGAAGAGCCGAGGAGACTACTGCTGCCTGAAACAGTACTTTCTCGCGCCGCTTTGCTAGGGGATGAGTCCTTATTACGCTCATCACGTTCTTTATTGTGATAGTCAATTTGCCTGTTTAGCGTTAGGAATTTTAGAAAAATCCTTGTATAGAATGAGCTCTTTGTCCAGAAATGAACATGGTATGGTAGGTGATGGCTTCTGGAAGTGGTGTAAGTGAATCTCACAGCATTGACATATTTTTACATCTTCAATTTTCTCCTTTATATTTTATTTTGAAATATGCTTGCTTACCTGCGGTTCGGTGTAGTAGTTCCAGTTTGCGTCTGTGAATTGCAGCATCGTCGCCAATACCGGTATGTCCATGAACATCTGTTCTTGACCGCCTGCTTCTACCAGCAACACCTGTATTACGTCAAACATGCATTATTGTGGCAACAATTATTTGTTTTCTAGGGAGCGACATAAAACGCGAGATACTGCTATACTCGCATAGAGGTCTCGTGCTTTGTATCGCTCTCCCGCAAGTCGCGACTTGTCGAGCTAGCCCTACAGGAGTTTGTGCACTACATTGACAGTATACTTTATAAATCGTTATTTGCTAACTATATCAGTTTTGAAGTTTATCACAGCTATTTAGGGTGTACGTCTAAATCGCAGTTACAACTTCTCTCGGAATTAAACAACAAAAACCTATAAAATTCGTACAAAAGGTGTAGCATCAACATATTTGACTATGCATCAACATTTAAAATTAAAGAAAAATATGTAGTTCATTAATTCAAGAGCTAATATGATCAAAATACAACATATTAAATCTCGTCAGTTGTTGAGAGCAATTTGTAAGTAAATATTATTTTACAGTGTTAACAGAAGACGTAACCAAGGCAGCCGTATTTGACTACACAATCAAACAACAAGACAAGAAGGAATAAACAACGATTTGTAATGATTTGGAACAGGTCTGTGATCGCTGATTGGACAGAAATACATGACTTTTAAATTAAACTATAACTTACAACTAATTTCAACTGCCTCAGTGGCCTAACGGTTACCATGCCGGACTGCCACGCAGAGATCCCAGGTTCGATTCCCGGGCCGGGAGAAATAGTTGTATGGCCTACAATTATTTCTCTCGTGAGTTTGGATGTAATTTGTGGTTGTCTATGTGTGTGTCCATGGCACCCGCGACACAGAGTTTCCCTAGTGCGGGGCTATGTTGAGTGTGTAAAAAAAAAAAATATTTATCATTAGAAGTAACATAAGTTTGAAAGAAAAGTGGAATTATAACTTCGATATACTCTGTAATATCTGAAAACCAGAAATACTGAAATACCAGAAAATTGTATTGCAGAATGGTTTTTTTTTTCCATTATTTTAAATCAGATCTTTATTACCAATATAAGAATACTATCCGGTATCAGTCACGTTTTCAAGTTCTTTTATCTCAAAAAAGGACGCCACTAGAAATTAAAATTACTTACATTAAAGTTTTCAACTTCAGTAAGCCTATTGGCCAGCACACACCCCGCAGTGCCAGCTCCAATGATCACAAAATCATAAGCTGGTAGTGGTTGCAGGGTATCTGGAGGTTCTCCGTTAGTCAGGGTTAATGTGTCCCTGAGCAGGCCACCGATGGCTTCGAAGAAAGATCCTCGGGCCGCGAGTGATGGTGTCGCGAGGATGGTCAGACTGTGGAACATGAAAATTAGTGGGACTTTTTCCAACCTCTGGGTTAAAGCATCTACTTTCTACTACGTTATGGAAACATGATGAAAATCGTCAATAATAAAGTGACTAAATTAGAAAGATTTTTGAGAAAGCGACAAAGGGGGTATAAAAAAAATAACGTATGCCGCATCAGCTATACACATGTGCTACGAGTATGTGGTTAGCGCCAAAATCTATTTAATATGAAAAACGAGATGTTACATTTATTTGGTACGTTATTTTATATTTATGTTGTCTGTTTTCCAAAAAAATATTTTGGCTTCTTTTTGTTATCTATGGTTTTTAACTCCAAAACAGTTTTTGCGTAAGAGGAATGCTTTATGTTTCTCGAGGTAGTTTGATTGCCTGTGGCGTCGAAGTTCTGGGATAAGTTGATGTTAGCTGACATTTGAGGTATGTTTAGTATAGATACGAGCATTGACTTACAATTATATGGACGTCGGGTCCGCGCTAAAAAGTGTCCGAACTTATAGGGCGTTAAAATCGTATACAGAGCGTCATTCACGCTTTAGTCTTCGTTTGTTCGACTGACAGCGAAGCAAGCAAAATTAGACAGTACTGCGATGACATTACAATTTAAATTCAACGTTTTAGCTTTTTCATATTCCTTTACATGTCACTACGTTTAAATAGGTTGACTTGGGACATTTTTTTCGTGGTTTTTGTATTAGACCCGTCGTCCATTTATTTGTAAGTCAATGGATACGAGTAACTATTTTTGAGCTTGGAATCTGAATATTCGAGAGAAAATTTGCAGATTTCGACAGAAATAAATGTTTTACGAGTTAAAGATGGTTTTTTGTTTTGTATTTTCATAAAAATTGTTTCATATTTTAACTGCACTGACTGACGTTATGTCCGAGGAAGATTTGTTTAAATCCGACCTATTTTGTGTTTCAAAAAATACCTAATGTCGGTCTACCTTTGACGAATATTTTTGAGTCGATGCGTCTGAAAATAAATATTTAATTTGAACACTATACTTTTTATTGGCAATGTATTACAACAATAGAGAGCACCTTATTTTCCTGAAGCAGAAAATGACTCGTTACGTGACCACTTAAAATATAAAGGTACAAAGTCAAATTAGTAATTTCATTGAAGTAAACGAAATGTTTTTTCCTGACAATTTGGTAGCAACGAATATCGGTGTTATTATTTTGATTACTTTAGGTATTATCTGAAACGTTCTTTTGCCCTTGGGAGCTTTTACTTCTTGTTGTAAGAAACGGGTAAAATATTTTTGAAGGTTGGTCCGATTGCGAACAGGAAATTGTCGTCTTTGAACGATAATTTGACTTTTATATTGTACTCTTGCATTTAAGAATATATCTACTGTTGGTTTTAAAATGTTTAATAACTTGTAAGGTGAAGTATCGCATTGTGATTACAATGACAATGTCTTTTGTCAAAATCGCCATTTTTTAATTACCCATCTAATCATCAACTCAAAATGGATTGACGTAAACATGTCACAGTGCTGCAGAAGGTTTAGACCGTAATACAGTTTGCCACATTGGCTAATGTGCTAGGACAAAGAGCTTCCCTAGTCAGCGTATACTCGGGCAGAATTTCCACTACTGGATGCTTTTCGAAGTTTCCAGTAGCGGCATAATGTTAATTATACGGCGTGGTCGAGGTCATCACCAGCCAACTGCAAAACTAACAAAAAATGACCAATACGAGTAGTGGATTTTACATCTACACATTATATTAATATTATCTATTAGAAAGGCTGTACGAACCTTCATCATGTTTCCCTGATGCTTTCAAGTTTGTACAGAAAATATTAATATATGTGTTTCAAGTATTCAAGTATAAGATGTTTCAAGCTTATACAGAAAATATGAATATATGTAAAAATGTAAAACAGTGTAAAAACAGGTTGAAGGCATTTTTCATCAAACAATACTCTAGTACTGTTTGATGAAAAAATGTTTTCAAGTATTAAAATTGTTGGTTATTGTTGTTTAAATATCAGGTAATACAATAAAAATTTAAAATATTAATAGTACTAATAGTTACAATTTCTCTTGTTTAACATTGTTTCTCTTATTTTACCTAGTTTTTATTTTGGTTTTTAAAAATGAAAGCACATTTTGCTGTGCTATGACTGCAGCTACCTACATATAAACCCGTTAAAAGGATTGCAGTAGGTATGTTAGACTTAAGAACGAATGTAAACAATTTAACATATAACACGCATAACTATCGAACTGCTATTACAATAGTGTTGTAACTCAAAGTATTTGAAATTCAAGATTATACTATTGCTAACGTTGAATTTGATTCTCTACGCGTCAATAAAACGGTCGTTAGATTATTGTAAGAAACAATTAACAGATATCTACTTAAAATGAGACAAACTTTTCGTGAACTAGTTCTGGACAAAACAGTCCTTATGCAAAAATATAAAATATATTTTTTCCTTTTTATTTCTAAATATATTTGGCATGTAGGAAATTTAGTAAATTAAACTATTTTTCCGGATTTAAATCGCGTATATTTGTTTTTTTCAAACAAACCGCCGTTTCGGGCACTTTACAGGTCCCGTGGTCACGGTTGACTGAGGTGGTACAGTCTTCAAAGAGTTATGTCTAATATTGAACCACCCTATTTTTTCACTATATTATTAATATATTATTAATTAAATAACTATTGTACGTAGGAAATTGTCGATATGTAGGAAATTGTTTAGATATCTGTAATAAAGTTTGACCTATACATACTTGTTTTTAATAATCTTTCACAAGAAGTGAACAATTCGTTTTTCATCGATGCTAAAAAAATACACTTTTTGAGTTAATACGCTATTGTATTAATAGTGCGATGTGATAAGTTTTTGTCTGAACTAGGATATCATTGCTCTGTTAATAATATACGATTTCACACCTCCTAAACACAAATATAAATATTGAAGAATATAGTATTTCCTACCTCAAAATTAATCCGTACATTTTCACACTTGGTAAGTAAACACTTCTATGTAAGTACACTTCTGCCACTTTTGAACTCTCCGGAACCTTACACTATCAGTCGTTTGTCGATAGTGATTCAATTTAGAAATTTCAAGTTGGTGTTAGTGCTTTTATTATTAGTTCTTTACATAATTTTTAAACGCAATTAAGGACTCGTTAGACGTAATAAAGCATTAGAGTCACTAATAATTGACATTTGGTATTTTCCTGTTTATGAGAAAAAACACATTAGGCGTAGAGAATTCAAACGTAAAAGCAGAAACGTTTTTATTTTTATCTAAAACCACTTGTTCCAAAATTTAATAGAATGGAATTTACGCGTGAAAGACAACAGTACAAACTTTTGTTTTTTACGCGCCTAAATTGATAATGTAACAAACATTCACTTGTTGGTATTATAAAAATTATTATTTTATTATTTAAAAAAACCAACCTTAAAAGTTTGCTTATCAATTTTTTATTGGAACTACATCTATTTGCCAAGTTTTATTGCAATCGGTTAACGGAAATTGCGCGAAACTGGATTCATTCCCTAGCATACTACCACCCTTAGAGGTGAAATATTTTCTTCAAATTTAAATGGGACCAATACTTAGGTACCCTCTTTTCAACTAAAAAGATCAATCAAATCTCATCAAAACAATCAAATCAAAAATTGGTTCACAAATACCGGAGTAATCGCGTAACATATACAACAAAAATCAGTTTAATTCAGAACCTCCTCCTTTTTAGAAGTCGATTAAAAATGCAAGGAAATTGAACAAGAAAAACTTAAAAGTTGACATCTTGGTATGAGTGACAGTTGTCAGTTATTAGTAGACATCCGAATAGGAATAGTGTTTTTACCTTAACTCATAGACTGAAGAAATAAAACCCTTTGAAATCTCGGAATAATTAAAAACAAACTTATATTTTATAATTACAAAACTTCTAAATACACTACCGTAGTAAAGTAATTGCTAGTTACATATGAAAAATATAAACAATATGTATTACTCTCTATTTGCATTATCTTCTGCTTCATGTGCCATCTTCTAGTGAAGGTCGGCGATCATGATGGCAATCTGAACTTTGGACACTGCAGCTCTGAATAATGTATTATAGTATGTATTGTAAATATGAATATGTATTACTTCCATGAAGTTCAGGTAAATATACTCTGCCTATTTCGATTTTTATTATTATATCATCATCTTCATCACATCGGCTTACACGTATCCACTGTTGGATATAAGCCTACCTCTGAGTACACCAACTATCTCGATTTTGTGCTGCCCCATCCAATCACTGCCGGTCACCTTCCTTAGATCGTCCGTCTATCTTGCCGCAAGACGTGTGTACACTACGTATTCCAGAACAAATCAGCTCCATCAAGAAAGTACTAAACGTCTGGCGGCCCGCTGCGCATTTACCTCAACTACTCCATATAGCACTTCTTGCCATCATATTGCTATATTATTTGTTGGAAAGGGAGAGAAAGGAAAAAGAAAAATGTAAAAAAATACAAAAAATAAATTAAAAACGTTAGTATTAAATAGTAGTAACTATTTTAGTATGTTCAGTAAACACTCCTCTCACACATACTCCCAACACACGCACATGTAATTCACCAACGCTATACATACTGTCAAAGACAAAGTGTACGCCAATAGTATCGCGTCTTTGATATAGTACAAATATAGAATTAAAAAAAAAAACAGTTCCATCGGCCGTCAGCCCACCTGCACTCAAGATCGGCCCACTGCCATTAAAGTTTCAGCTTACTGCTTTATTTCAGCTTACTGAGTTCTTAGGTTTTCGCGATTGTTACTCATAGGAAATGGAACTATTTTTTCGAATCTAAATCGCTTATATTTATTTTGTTTTTTTCCAAGCAAACCAACGTTTCGGACCCTTTACAGGTCCCATGTTCACGACTGACTGATTTAGCTAGCGTCATAGCTTACTATTTAGCTTACTTTTTGAATTCGGTCTGTTAAGAATCTATTATAGGT